TGAAAATGAGCTTCATTGTGAAGTTTTTCCTAGAATTCCATCATAATTCTGAATATCTCGCAAAATTAATCCAAGTTATAATTTTAGAATGTAACATGAGAATCAGTCTGGGGACACATTATAATAGTCGCACTAAACACCTCATTGTGCATGAGTGCACAGACACATCCACCTAATTCTTCTTTTGGCTTGTAACTCGTAGCCATCAAGTCAATCCTGGCTCATAGAGACCCTATAGGACATAGTAGAACTGCCCCATAGGGTTTCCAAGGAGCAGCTGGTGGATTCGAACTGCCAACCTTTTTGTTAGCAACCGAGCGCTTTACTACACCACCAGAGCTCCAAAAAATAGCTCTACGCACTTCACTATCTGAAAAAATAATAATTGAACTAATTAAAATAAAGAGTAAGGAGTAAATTAGAAAGAATCCAACAGATTCTTATTTTCACTTTGTGCATAAGTTATAGGCTAAATGTTTTCCGAGCCAGAAAGCCGGACGGTGTGCAGGAAGGAGAGGGGAGCTAGATTACATGGTATTCCTTCGAGTTCATGCAAGACAAACATGAATTACAGATTCTTATCCATTCGCTTAATAAAAATGTAAGGTGCTGTAAGGTCCCTGTGTGGCGTAATGCACTCAACTACTAAAGATTGGCAGTTTGAACCCACCCAGAGGTGCCTTGGAAGAAAGGCCTGACTATCTGCTTCTGTAAGGATTACAGCCACAAAAACCTTACGCGGCAGTTCTACTTTTTAACACATGGGGTCACCATGAGTCGGAATGACTGAACAACAAAGAGTTGTTTTTTGTTTTTTTTCTTTTAAAGGGGCTGTAACCAGCCAGAAGTTCCTAATTTAAATTCCATTTTATGCTTTGATTCCTGACCACGTGTCTTCGCAAAGCTGCAGTGCTGCGAGAAGGGAATACATACAACTGTATCATAGAAACAGCCACCGTGCAGGAGTTTGAAGGGTCAAAGAAAACGCATTTCCTTCACCTGCTCTGCCCTAGACTTGCTGGCTAGACGCCGGCAGCACGGTCCCACCAGCTTTGCACAACCTGGCTATGGCCAGCACCTTACCTTTGGGTAAAAGCTGGGGTTCTTCCTAAGTACCTCACCTCGCGTTCAAAACGTAATGACTGTGCGGTCCGAAAAAGATAGTAAGAAAAGCTACCCTCTGTGGCTTTTAAATTACAAATGTCTTTTTCTTTTTTTCCATTTTGAATCAGCCGGCCTAACGCACATTTTGGAAAGCTACCCCCTCCTACTCGCGTCGAGTACAGTACTTGGGGAAGAAAGCAGTCGCAGCCCTGTGCCGGGCGGGCGCCCCCTGGTGGTCTATCAGGCCGTAAGCGCAGCAGCACCTCAGTTCACCCGGCGGTTCAAAGGACTCCCGCGTCCTGCAGGCAACGGGAGCCAGGGAGGCCCCGCCGTCTTCCGTTGGAAGAAGCCCGGGACGCCGCAGAAGAGGCCAACGGAGCGTTATCATCCTCACTCCTGAGGTGGGGGAACGGGGACCAGAGTCCGGAAATAACGCGTGCTACTTGTCCTGCCTCCTCTAGTTCCAAACCTGGGGCGGCGGGGGAGAGTCCTGGAGAAACATGGAGAAGGCAGGGCGAGAGTGCAGCGAGGCAGGGAACGTGCTGGGGCATCTTAGACCGAGAGCTCTGGAGAAGCCAGAGAGTGCCAGGTAGCTGCCAACAGACGTGGGCCGGAGCTGGACTGGGAGGAATCCAGCACCACATTTTTCTAGCATTGTGTTTCAAGAACTCCAACCCCGCATGGGGGCAAATTCGCAGCTGCTATTAGGGAGTGTTGCCCCTACAAGCAGGTACTTTCCTGTAAAGTAAAATATTTTGTAAGACATTAGGTAGAATACAGTATTAGGGGTGGGTGTGTATGTTTCAATTTCCCACTGGTGCTTCCTCGTGCAAGCACGTTTCTAAGTAAATGAACAGCAGTCAGAGGAGAACATATGCATACATCTTACATTTTTGTATTTCTGTTTATTCTTAAGTGGGAAAATACAATTCACCTTCAAAATGGACAATAGGGTCTTCTTGAAAAGTGTTCTAGGAGACAGAAACGAGGAATGACTTCTGATTAAGTGAAGGAGGAAACCTGCCGTGCAAGTGACACCCCCTCCTCGTTTCAGAGGCCCATGATGTCGCTCTATTAGTGAATTAACTAATTTGAAAAGGTTTAAATTTTAGAATTTCCTTGCACCAATCATTAAGAATGATCTTCGAACGCCTTCATCTATAGCTAACCCTCCTAAAACCAAAACAAATATTAAACCTATTAAACAGAAAAACTACAAATCTACACAATCAAAAGCAAATCCCAGCAAGAGCATAAGGGACTTGAAACCCGAATCTGCATTCCGTTCCTCCCGTACTCGGCTCTGAGGTGGGGGAGGCGGTTTGTGCTGGTTCCTGGTGTATAATCGGGTTAATCCAGTAGACAAAGAATAAACCAATAGCCCTCCCACCTCACTTCCCGCTCCCTTCCTTTCCCCCTCTCCTCCTCCTGCCCCCCGCCCCCCCGCGAGATGGGGAACAGAAAAAGGGAAAGATGGACTTGAAGTCGGTTCCGGATAAAGACTTAAAACCTGGAACTTGTTTTTATTGCTAACATCGCATAGCTGGGATTAGTTGTAAATGTTCACTCCCCTTTCCTAGTGGCGGGGAGAAAGTTCCATAAGTCAGACCGAGCCTATGGCTCGTCCTCATGTCCCCCGGGAAAACCTTAAGGTCAGTGTTTCCTTAAAACTAGATAAACTGACCCAGCCGTGCCCAGCCCGGCCCCGCGAGCGCCCCGCGTGACGGCGTCCGGGCTGCAAGACCGGCCAGAGGACGCGCGGGGCGGCGCGGTTGCCCTTTTGAATGCCTCCTGCGGCTCGGAGCGCTGGCGGGCGCTGGAGTGTGAGTGAATGTAGCCCCGCGGAGCCAATGAGCTGGGACCGGATGCGATATATCCTCTGGGACAACAACTGCTCTGTTCCGCCTCGGATCCACATGACGCCATTTACTGCTGCCGCGGCGGCCGCAGAGCTCCCTGCCTCCTCCGGAAAGGCGAGGGCGCAGACCAACGGCGAGCCCCCCCGGCCGGGCCACAGGCCCACCTCCTCCTCCTCTTCCTCCTCCTCCTCCGCACCCACCGCCCCAGTCTCGGCCTCGCCGCCGCGCCTCCACAGCGCCCAGTCTGCACGGCCGAGAGCTGCGCGCCGCAGCGCGAGC